CCCTGCCCTCCCCCCCCCCCCCCTCCCCCGGGTTCCAACGCCTTCCAGGGGCGACTCCGACCCCTCTCCCTAGCGCACGCCCCAGTCACCTCATTCTCTCTCTGCAGAAAGTCCTGACGGCCATGGACAAGACGTGGCACCCGGAGCACTTCTTCTGTGCGCACTGCGGGAAGGTGTTCGGCGATGATGGTGCGTCTCTCCCACCCCTCCCCGCCACATGTGGAAAGTTGGGATTCTACAGGGATCTAGCCCCGTCTATTGGCCCACAGCCCTGTGCTCATCCAGCTCTGGACTCCCTGCCAAAGCTTTGCCTACACTCTCCATTCCCAGCCCCCTGTTATCCCGGCCCTCAGTCCCTCCCCCCACACTGTGCCCCTCAATCCTGGCCGCAGACGCCTGCTATCCCAGCCCTGCTCCCCCCAGCCCTGTCAGCTCCCTATAAACCCCCCCAGTCTCCCGCCTCCTGCTGTTCCAACCCTGGGCCGCCAGACGTGAGCTGTGATTCTGGGAGGTGCACGGACCAGGGGCAGGTCTGGAAGGGAGCTGGGCTGCCATGGTAAGTGATACCAATAGATTCCCTTCCTCTGAGGCCCTGTGAGCCGCAGGTTTATGGGGCCAGAGCTCTGGCCATTAGCCCCAGTGTGTGACCGGGCTGACCTTTCCCACCGGTGTCACCCAGACAATGTTTAATTGTGCCGCGGTGGCACAGTGGAGCCTCCAAGAACCACTGTGACCACTTGCTCAGAGTCTGGTCAGGGGCATGAAATCCCCACCCCAGCAGTAATTGTCCCTCCAAGCATTTTGCCTTCCGTTCTCCCATCTCCCTCCCTGTGCAGCGTGAGGTGTGTTAATTGCTTGCTCCCTGGGCCTGTCACCCAGACAATGTTTAATTGTGCCGCGGTGGCACAGTGGAGCCTCCAAGAACCACTGTGACCACTTGCTCAGAGTCTGGTCAGGGGCATGAAATCCCCACCCCAGCAGTAATTGTCCCTCCAAGCATTTTGCCTTCCGTTCTCCCATCTCCCTCCCTGTGCAGCGTGAGGTGTGTTAATTGCTTGCTCCCTGGGCCTCTGGTGGCAGCAGCTCGTTAATTTCCCCAGGGGGCCGCCGCAAAAACACTCCGGCCCTGCCATGGGATGGGGTTG